CTTGTTGCCGGGTAGATTTGCAGCAGGCCCGGATATGTCCGTAAAAGGCACTCAAGAGTTCTAGCGGGGGGGCAAGGCCCCCCACATGTAAGGATTCAGGAGTAGATCCTTTGTATTCTGAAGTTTTTGGTTTTCAGACATTATATATTCTCATTCTTTCTACATTTATAGTTATTGGACATTAGTCAGTGAAGCAAAATCTAGATAAAACTGTGAAAACAATGATACATGAGTTAGGACAACAAACCCCAGTAATAGCTGGCATTTCTTTTTTTGTAGTTTGAGCTATACAAATCTTTAATATGATACAATCTAAGTGCTAGGCGTTCCTTTATGCTCCCCATATTTCTTTTTTCTTGCAGATAGGTTTATGTGTTTCAAGCTGTCGGTTCTTTCTGATAAACATAGTTATTCCCTGATTTATTACTTCATCTTTTACCATACTAACATGATTTTTTGGATAAATCCAGGAGAATTTTTCACTGCCAGAATTATCTTCTTTTAAAAATAGCTATAAATATTAAAAATAAAATTGCTAATTTAATCATTAAGTTATAGTTTTTGTTTATTCCCTAATTAAATGCTAATTGAGAATATTTCCTGTTGATATTTACTTTTTTGTTTCTGAATTGTATGGATTTGATCTTGTTAATTGGATCTTTTAGGGGAAGCTGTATTCCATTGTGGTTATGTGGAGTTGTTTTCCAATAGAAAAATAACAAATACGGTTTTATTTTGTTTTATAGAATATTTAATTTCATCAATTTCTCATTTAAAGCACTTTAATAATTAGATCTTTAAAATCAAGAAGATTAGTGATTCAGAGCCTCATAATCATTTTGCCAAGAGGGCCTTGCACCAATTATATAACTGTAATTAACTAATTCTGAAGTTTGATAAGAATATCATGTCTCAAAGGGAATTTTAACAAACTTGCCCATAAATATAAAACAACATTACTGTTTTTGTAATAGAATATGCATAGTTATTAACAAATGCAATGTAAGATTTTCATTTTACATTAGAGAAAGAGGTTGTACTTATTCTAGATCTTTCAAAAAATGACAAGAATTGATGTGTATAATCTGTGCAGACCATACTGTTACCAAATTCATGTACTAATTAGAATACCACGTCTCTTCTAGAGCCAAGTAAAACTGAATACTAGAATTGCTTTTTACTTTAGAGGTAACTCCATTAAAAGCACTCCTATATCATTTATACCATAAATATCATTGTAAAAAGCAATACTATTAATCACTTTAATACCATGAGTATCTTTTATACATAAAGGACTTTCTGTGTACAGGTTTTTTTAGAGTACTTAGGATGGGTTTTTTTATACCCCCTTATATTTGTAGAAATATAAAATATACAAACACTGACAATTTCCAATGTTATGATCATGAACTACAATGTGATAAATGTAATGGCTACTAAAATGAAATTCTTTCCTCTATTAGTGATTTAGAAAATTTTAAAACTATGACTTTTTAGTAAATTTTGAAATATTTATTGAAATAGAATATATAAAAAGTCATTAAATGTTAAACACCTCAAAGGTATTGATTGACACTGATTATAAAAAGTATATTTGCATTTATTTCTTTTACTCTTCAGGTCGCTATGCATTTCAGATCTGGAAACCTCTAGAACAAGTAATCACACAAACTGCAAGGAACATTTCATCTCCTGTAAGTTAAATGTATCTTTAGTTAGAACACTTACGTCATATTTGTATGTCATATTTAAAATTAACTTTCCAGTCATATTTGTATGAAATTTAACTTTCCAGTCTCTGTAGACATTTGCTTCATTATATCATTTGTGATTTGCTTAATTTATTGATTTACTCATAAGTTTCTTGGTCACATTTTTATATATAAACCTTATTCTTAGTTCTGAAAGCTAATTATTATATTCCAATTAGTAGTAATGTACCAACTTTTAGTTAACCTTTTTTCCCATTGTAACTCCACTGTTCATTTATTCAGTAAACATTTTAATGAATATGCACAATATACCACTCCCTGTGTCAGGAGCTGAGAATAGCTGGTGAACAAAACAGAAATGGTCTCTAACCCCATGGAATTTAACCAGGACTTCATTTCCTCTTAAAATTTGAAACTAGTTCCCTTGAAATTCTATAGGACTGTAATACACATTCATCTACCAGCATTATAGATATTCTGATGTGCTGAATTTAAGTAGAGAATGAGTGATAGTAGATATCCAGAAAGTTAGAGTATGAACTGTGATTTGTCGTTACTGAAGACAATACAAAAAAACACCACTGGACTACCGCAACATAAACAGTGATTTCTGGGTAATAGAGATAGATCTGGAGAGATCAGCTTGGCTTGCAGCAAGTGAGAATGAGTAACTTGTTTGAGCAAAGCCATTACAGGCTTGTAGGGCTTAATCAGCCAAGAACAGTGACAGGAAGACATACTGACAAATTATTAAACCCGGTCCAAAAGAACTGCAAGAGATTTTCAAACTAGTAAATATATTTCTATGACAGGCAATATATGTTTATTTTCTGTTTTCCTATTTATATTTTATATGAATAAAGTATTACTAGGTATTCAGCATGCATTCAGTAAACATTCATTGAGCACCTAGTACATGCCAGCCATTGTAGGAAGTGGGAGTCATGGACCAGACAAAGACATTTTCCTCTAGAACCTTACATTTTACATTTTAGCAGAGAAATAAATAAATGAAGCAAGATATGTAATATCTAAAAGTGTTAAGTGCTTTTAACCAAATCAGGGTAAGTGATTAAAGAATAACAGCAGAGAGGAGTCTTTATATTAGATAGGCCAAATAAGACCTCCATCTTAGTTACTTTTCTCATTGCTGAGACAAAATACCTGACACCCAAAGTTAAAGGAGAAAAGATTTATTTAGCTCACAGTTTGTAGAAGTTTCAGTTCATAGTTGGCTGACTCAAGGCAGGGTGGCATGGCAGAGGAGAAACAGTTCATGGTGGGCAGCAAGCAGCAGAGAACCAAGGAATCAGCAAGGGAGGACAGCAACCCTCTTTCTGTCTCTTATATTCTGTCCAGTCCACACACCCTTAGGGCAGGCAGCACTCACACCCATGGTGGGCCTTTACATTATCGACACCCAGAACTGTACCAAACCAATCAGTGGACTAATTCAGTAATCACACACCATTGATCTTAGCATCACATACTTAATCCTGCTATCACATACTTAATCCTGCTGTCACATACTCTAGATCCAGCCACCTCTGAAAAGCCCCACCTATGACTGTATGAGGCTTTGGGGGGACATCTAGACACAAGCCGTAACAGCCTCTCTCAGAAGGAAGCAGGCCATGCCAGCAGCTGAAGAAAGTGCTTTCTAGGTTGTAGGAACACAGCAATGAATTTAGCCAGGGTAACCAATGGAGTCTGTCATGGGAATAATAATACCTTGGGCCCACATCCCTTAGAGTAGTGATGGTGAACCTTTTAGAGCTCTCAAGGATACACACAGCCCGCCACAACACTGTGCCATAGATTTGCCACCATTGCCTTAGGGCCTAATAGAGTGAAAAAAAAATTAACATTTTACTCTATGTGTGATGTAAAGAAAGCCTGTGGAAGATTTTTGAGCAGTGAGAGCAGTATGATTTGCATTTTAAGTTGTCTACCCACTGCAGAGAGGGTAGATGAGAGTGAGCCCAGAGTAAAAGGTTTGAAACCAGCTAAGAGGTAATTGTAATATGATAGTGTTGGAATAGAATAATAACAATGGAAATGGCGACATAATTCTTTAAATTAATGTTATTTATGCCTTCCCATGTTTGTCAGTGGAGGGAGAGAATTTTATAAATTCTTTCCCTTCTGGTATAATGATCTTTAGCAGATATAGGTACACCATAAATACAAAACCCCAAAACTTTGTGGAACAACTGTATTATTTAACATAGTAAAGGAGGAAAGAGCAAGGAAATGACAAAACTTTTGCAGAGGCTCATAGGTAAGGCAGGGTAGATTGTAATAGGTATACCAGTCCTGGAATCTGTATTTCTTAAGAAGAAATTAATAGTTTACCACTCTCTTTTTCTTTTTTTGGGTCTGAAGGTAAGAAACATAGCATGGCTTTTGATAAATCTGATTCCAACTTTCTATTCACAGGGTACTACTTTATCAGTTTACAATGAAACATCTTAGAATATCTTTTTTTTTTTTTTTTTTTTTGTAAAAGATCTTAGAATATCTTAATCATCATCATAATTATACCCTCCTCGAAGACATAAGTTTTAAAGGCAATTCCTTAAATACTAATCACTCCAGAGAAACTGAGAAATGAAATATGTGCATACTTTGTCTTCACACTAATGATTCCCAAATGTCAAACTTCATAAATGCAGCATTTACAATTTTTTGATTTACCATATTAATTTTTGAACCAAATGGGATTACTAAAAAAAAAAAAAAACCGAAATATAATTCTGTATCACAATAAATCTCTGTCATTCAGAGGGGAATGTTCAAGGCTGTAGTTCCAGTGAGTTCTGTTTCTCTGTTTGTTGTTCTTTGTACTTTATTTGCATCCTTTAAGTTTTGACATCTTCTTAAATTTCATCATTCTCTTTCTCATTACTCCCCCTGCCCCCATTTTGCTGGAATACTGCCTAGTTTGTTTATATGGCATACATGGATTTAAATGTTTTAAATTCTCTGTTAAATAGTGTGTTACTTTTATTCTTACTGTTAATCATCACTTGGGGCTCCTTGAATCTAGTTGAGCCACCATGAGAGGAGTACAGAAATCTCTGCTGAGACCACACCTCAGTACCCATATTCCTTCATTCCTGCATATGCATAGCCAAATTTTATACTCCTGGTCTTCTTACATTGTAGACAGCCTGTTGTATTGGTTTTCTTTTGCTATTCATTTTGGGGTTTTAGTTTTTTGGTAATGCTTTTTCTTTTAGCTCAAAAAGTTTTTAAAATTTTTTCTTTATTGATGTTCTGAAATTTCACAAGAATTCATAATGAACTGTAACTTATTTGAAAGTTCTCTTTTATTCTGTAATATTTCTTGTACTTTTCTTTATTTCTTCTCTCTGTTATCTCTCTTCTCTGAATGAAGAACTTCTATTAGAAAGTTGTTGGACCCCTGAGTCTGTTCTCTATGTCTTAGCATTTTGTCTCTTTATTTCTTGTTTTGTTTTGTGGTTTTGAGACAGGATCTCACTATATAGTTCAGGTTAGCCTTGAACTCACTAGGTAGCCCAGGCTGTCCTTGAACTTAGTGATCCTCCTGCCTCAACCTACTGAGTGCTGGAATTATAAGCATACACCACCATATTAGGCTTTTATTTTCTATTTTCTTATCTTTTTGGATCCACATTCTACATTTCCATAGCTTATTTTTCAGATCACTAGGTTGGCCATTCTATTATTTAATCCATCTGAATATTATACATCAGTAACTTTAATTTTCAGTAATACTTTCTTGTTTGTTTTCATAGCAACCTATTTTTAAAAAATGAATATACTGTCTTTTTGAATAGCTCTAAAGACACTATCTAGAATTTTGCCAAATTCTTGTTTTCTAATTTATCTCCTTTTTCCAAAGCCAATTGCCATTTGATTGTTTTTGTGATTCGTTTATTTTTTCCCTCCATTATACTAGATTTGCACAAAATGTCTGATGATCCTTGGTTGTTGTTTCATATTTGTGAGGACTAAATAGATTTATCTGAGTTTTAGCGGGCCTTTCTTAAGCATTTTGACAGACTTCAATGGTTTGATTGATTGAGAGGATTGACTGTAGGCTCTGAGTACATAGGTGGCCTTTTTTTCTTTTTTTCCTGGTACCTGGGATCTAACTCAGGGCCTTGCACTTGTGAGGCAGGTGTGGTGCCACTGAGCTAAATCCCTGGATAGGTGGCCTTTTCAGTAGGTGTGTCTTCCAAAGCCAGGAGACCAAAGACAGGCTTGGGACTTTCAGAGTCCAGGAGAGGTCAAGCACGTATTTCTTCTTGACATTTGATCACCTCCCTGGCCTTCTGAGTTCTTTGATTCTTCTAGGATCTACCATCCAGAGTGAAGTTCATCTTAGGCATATGATAGGTGTTAGGCATCGTATGCTCTTTATTAATATAGTAGGGGTGGCCTGTTTCTGCTGTTCTGGCTAATTTACTGTCATTTCTTTTTTTCTTTTTTTAAGATCTGAATTTAGTGCTCTTGGTTTCCTGAGAAGAGTTTCTACTTCTTGTCCTAGGGGATGCTGTGATTTTTCCATAGTATGTGCAGTTGTGCCTGTTTTTTTTTAATCTTCCAGGATTTATTTAGACTTCCTGGTTTGCTGCTTGTCCCATTTCTTGTTTTCTAGGACCATTATGAATTTTTTCTATGGAAAACATTTTTCTCATTTCAAAGATACTTTGGAAAGCATTCAGTTTTCTCTTTTGAACTAAGGTCCTTTTGCTTACTTTTTAAATGTATTGATGTATATTGTTGACTTAGCTAATGTCTAATTATCCCTAATTTTGGGAGGGGGGCTGAGTCATTTATCTTCTTTAAAACATTTAATTTTTTTTTTTTCTTTTTGAGACAGGGTTTCCTATGTAGTTTAAGCTTGCCCTGAACTATGTAGCTCAGAGTATTCTTGAATTTGTGCCGATCCTCCTGCCTTAGCCTCCCAAGTGCTGAGATTACAGACACGC